AATGCCAAGAAGCTATATAATTAGTGTTCATATACAGTTTTTATTTAAAGTGTGTTATTATACTTATTATCTAAATATCAACCTTCGTCTCTAACTTCTCTTTATATAACTTCTAAATTGTAGTCAGAGGTAATTTTTCCACACCCTAATATACTTTGAACTAGAGAATATAGTTTTACAGTGATCAAAATAATAACAACAATCATTTTAAATTATGAGGGTTATGTTTGAATAGTTCCTGGATGTTGACGGGCATTTCTAATCATACAGTATTTTCTTTTTAGAACGTTTAATTGTCCAATATTAAATAACTTGAAAATTAGCATAATCAAACTTATATCATATTAGAAAAGTCATTGGATCTTACCAAAATTGAAAAACTCATTTGTTGTTATTCTCAGCTAAATTGACTGTAAAATAGAGTCTGGTTAGCGTTTTCTACGGGATGGGGTCGCTAACCCCCATGCCCAATCCTCCTCCTTTATCCGAGCTTGGGACCGGCAGTAGCTCCAGACGGAGTAAATAATATAAATAAATTGTTCCGATCTTACTTGACTTATTATTTCTTACTGATTCATTCAACATATTATGTCTTCTAGTACTATGAATAAATGATGTATAGATTTTCTGACACTAAACGCAAGTTAATAACGTCTAATGTACAATACAAGGTACTTTTGTCGATAAATGTTAGTTCGATTCTATCTAGCTCCCTATCTGCTGAAAGTAAGGTTTTCTTTAAAAACTTGTGAGTTATACTTATAGGAATGAAATTTTAGGAACTACATGCTTAAAGGATTTGACAATTGTCTTCATAATTATGAGTAATTAAAGTTATACTATCTAGTCAATACCAGTGTCATTTTATCAACTAAATCTGAGATGTGGTCATCATTTTAAAGTGACTTCATACTACAGCGCAATATATTTGATATCAGATCATTGGAGGCTATGGATTTAAAAGTTAGAAATCTACGTTGTATTTTAGAAACATTTCCACATCGATGTTCGTCTCTTGGCCCAGCAGCCTAGGACGATAACTGCCCGAGTACTCATATTCAGGGGAACTAATCATTGAGAACGTACAGCGTACGGCCTTATAGTTTCAGATTAGATAATGTATCCGCTTTATTATATGCACCTTCAGAACGCCGTAAGTGTATTCATAGATCGATCAAACAAGAGGTGCGTTCCCGAGCAAATTATTACTTTGCTTGAGTCTATAATTCCATTCATCTAACCTTTTATAATTCAATATCGATAAGAGTGACGAAGGATACCAAGTTTTGGGGAGGGTGGGCATAACAATTATTGTCTACACAAATATATCATGGCATACCTAACAATCTATTCATCGTCACTTTTCATAGTTTGGCTACTGAATGTTTTCACACTAGGTGTCTATTTTTCTCTTGTATACGGAAAAGAATAGGGATCTACATGGGCCACAAACGAGTAGGAAATCCCAACCCCTATTTTGGTGAACTATTTAGTAAACTTTTATACTAGCTACTTTTGAGAACACCAGTTCACCACTTGTCGAATGGATAGTCAGAACCGCGAAGGAAAAAAAGATTATTTTATTTTATCACTTGTATGAAAGGCATAGAGTAAGGAAGCTGTGCAAAGAAATAAAGAATGTGAACACACTAAGGACTTAAGGAGCATTAATAAAACAAACAAATATAAGATAATAGCGAACAGGATTTAGAGCCACAGATATTATGTACGTGGATCTGCTCCACTCTGATTCGTTTCAGCCAGGCTACTTAATATGTCCATCAGACAAAATCTGATATTTTGGTTACCGACGCGTACATAGCCGCCTACATTCTAGTTATATCCCTGGTAACGTGACACATGTATTCAAATAATTTATTTTGCACGTGCGGTTAAATTAAAACTATTTGAGATAAATTTACAAAGTAGTCAGCTGATCATACATAAGATATGAAGTTAACCATCGAATCAGTACCACTTAGTGACGCAAGAGTGATCGAAGTATATATTGATAATCAAGTAATCTTTCAAATTGTTAAAAAGATATGAGATCTGAGCAAATATGAGAACTACAGAGAGATCACATTACTGTCAGTAGCAGCAACAGGTTTCAGCAAACAGTTGCTGAACCGAATAAAAGACTCAGTAGATGCCCAACTCCGAAATCAACAGAACGGATTCCGTATGGATCGGTCGTGCACAAACCAAATCGCCACATTACTGATCACCGTTGAACAATCGATTGAATGAAACACGTCACTATACATCAACAACATTGATTATCTGAAAGCATTTGACAGTGTGATTAAGAGGACATTATGGAAACTTCGACACTATGGAGTGAGCACCTGAGAAAATCGTCAACATTATCCGGAACTCACAAAACAGACTACAGTGAGAAGTGGTGAATGGAGGACAGCTGACTGACGAATTCCAAATGGGGACTGGAGTCAGAAAAGGTTCCTCGCTCTCCCTCTTTATCTTTCTTGTGGTTGACTGGGTTATGAAGACCTGAACATCTCAGAGGAAGCGCGAAATAAAATGGATAGATTGAATAAAACTAGACGATTTTTAATTTGCAAATGAACTGACCCATCTATACCATTCACATGAACAAATGCAGGTCATGACAAACAGTGTAGCAGCAGTCTCTTCATCAGTGGGTCTCAACATGCACAAGGGAAAAAGCAAGGTGCTCAAATACAACACAGCGAACACCAACCAAACCAATCACACTTGATGGAGAAATTCTGGGAGGGATGGAAACTTTTACTTATATGGGAAACATCATCGACAAACAGGGAGAATATGATGCAGATATGAAGGCGAGGGTCGATAAAGCAAGGACAGCACTCCTACAGTTGAAGAACACATGCAAATCAAAACAACTGTCATTCAATATCAAAGTCACAATCTTCAATGCGAACTTCAAGACAGTTCTACTGTACGGAGATGAGACTAAGAGAACTATCACAACCATCATCAAAAATTGTTAGGTCCCGAGAAACATAATGAATGGTAACTTTGGGATCTATTGATGGACCAATACTAAACGTATATTTTTATCGTATAATTGTTAAATAACTAAACTATTCATATTTATGTTCCTCTTATTGTAAGCTTTATTTTGACCTATGAACCATTATTATACGTTTTACCATTCTTGAATTATGCCCTGTCTATTAGTCACTGCCTCCCGCATTCACAGCCACATCTGGCTAATCCTTGTACAAATGTTTCATATTTTATTGGTACGTTGTGGTCTGTTTGATTGGTATATAAACTCAGTGTGTTTGAAATATAATGATTCATATTGAAGAGGTTGAGACTGGTGTTCTGGACTTAACTGGCTGGGCTAGGCGGAAAGCAGGATCAATCAGGGCTCTAGGCTGCTCGCATGTGTTTTACGCGTCCTTGGTTCGATCGACAATTCGCTGCTTCTGATTGGTGGCCTTGGGCGATAACAAAATTGTCCAAGTATTTATAAACAATTGTCTACGTAAGATACTGAATGTCCGTTGGTCGGATACCATAAGCAACAGCCTACTTAGGGAGAGAAAAAACCAGCTTCCAACTATGGAAGAAATTAGGAAAAGATGTTTGAAGTGAATAGGACATACATTAAGTAAATCACGAAACTGCATCTCGAGGCAAACTTTAGCTTGGAATCCTGAGGAGAAACAGAAAAGTGGAAGGCTGTAGAGCACAGTACTTTGGTAATTGGTAGCAGATATGAAAAGGATGAATATCGAGTTGAAAGAACTGGAAAGTATGTCACAGGACAGAGTTGGATAGGGAGCGACTGTGGGCGTACTATACTCCTCCTTGAGGAGTAACAGGCGTAAATTATTAAGTAAAAGAAAATCTAGCGATATATGTTATAATTTTTGTTCATTACTTTTGTATTAGTTTTTTTTTTACTTTCAATTTTCAACAACCATTGATTTTAATAAATCAAATCTACTTATTCAATTGAATCTGTTCTCACTTATTCGAGTTGTGATTCATTGAACCAATTCATATATAATTAAAATATTATTTTTAATTTGATCTTTATTAGCAATCACTGTAATAATAACCATAAATAATTATAAGCATCTATATAAATTATCAAGATAAATTATGTAATTAGTCTCCATGTTATCAGTTTGTGTAACTAAAAATTACAAATTGACAATTGAATGAATGACAAGTGTATCTATAGTGATAAGAGTCAAATGATTACCTAGAGACAGGTTTTAAACAAAACTTTTTCAAGATGCTGTATTGGTTATGATTAATTAACTTGAATAAAATCAATGAACGTTTTGATGTTACTGATTATTATTATTGTTCAGATGTAAGTATTTCATGTCTGTTTGCCAGAATAAATCTGATGATTAACATGATGTAAAAAGAAAACTGTCTTAATTTCTACACTAGATTCTTCTTGACAGAATTCAAAACATTGTTTTCTTCAACTAAATAATCATTGATATTCCTTGACATCTTTAGTGAGAATAAGAACTAAATTAAATGTAACCAGCTGATGAGTCCTAAATAGGACGAAACACGCGTCTTGGATTCCACTGCTAGCCACTATACATCTTTACTAATAACTTACTTAGTGTTTCTGATTATCACTTTTACTCGTTATCTCTCTTTCTTAATAACAATAAACTATTGTTTTTTCTTTCTGTTTTAAATTGTATTCCTTATTGCTGACAACAATTTATTTGTAGTTAACTAAGTAAATTAAAAAGTATTGTAATCAATTCTTTATTATTGTTCTTTGTAGGTTGATGTGTGTATTAATGGACAGCCAAGACCAGATATATGCATGCATGTTGAACCGACAGGTTATGCTTATTTCGATAATGAGGTATGTTTTAAATCTATATATTATTATTCAGGATCTCTTTTAATCTTTGTAATCATTCAGTGAACTGATGATAAGTTCAGTAGATTAGGCTGACCCAATCGACAATTCATACATTTTTTCATATACCACTTATGGATAACGTTCTCTGATTGGTTCGTCCATAGCTTAAGTGGATGAAGACGGACAACCATGAGACCACAAACTGATTGTTATATCCTAGTGAAGATTAAATTACGAGTGACTTGTGAGACCTATTAACGAAATAATATTATCTATATATTCTTATGGTATAACTATTCAGTAATTAGATTATGTATATCTATATTCCCTTTATTATAAGCTTCATTTTAACCTATAGATTATTATGATACGATTTACCGTTCTTGAGTCATACCCAGTCAATTCATTACTATCTCCCACATTCACAGCCACTTTTTGGTTTTATTGTGTATAAATGTTATTTCCTATTTTATGATGCGTTGCGGTCTGTTTGGTTGATGTATAAACCCAGTATGTCTGAAATAAATGATTCGCATAGTGGAGGCTGTTATTGGCATTCTAGACAGCTGGACAGGCTACGCGAGCAAAGGGCCAATATGACATAGGCTGATCAGACCGGACGAACGTCATTGGTTTAGAACAGTACGAGAGCGAATAAGTCGTATTTTGATTGGCGAGTAGATTACGTGATAACTAGCGGGCCATAAAGTCACAACACTGATCCTTATTTTTTTGCTTTTACTTTTCCTTAACAAACTGGTGAAGTTGTAAGTTAAGTATAGCTAATCAGTATGTAAATTATTGTACGTATTAAATATTTTGTAAATTAATCCAAGCTTAACTTCATTAGAAACTGTGAATTGAGTTTGGTCAACTAATATTTGACTATTTCCTACAAGGTTATTCTTATACTTCAATAGAGATACTAAGAGATGAGTGGACTCATTCACTTTCAAAAAGAAGAAATCACTTTACTTTCTGTTCATTTTTAGTTATTGGTTTCAAGGCATTTGTCAACAAGTAGACGATAAGCACTTTGAGGAAAGAGACAACTTAAAACATACATCCTACACAATACAAGCTGCTAAGTAACTTGAAACCAATTTCTTTTTATGCAGAACAGGAGACAGATACCATATGGTGTCCTCGATGTAGAGCTACTTAGACTAATGAACAAACTAAAACTTAGTCAATAGAATTCGATCAGCACTAAAGGAATTGTTGGAAAGGATGCATTATTGCCTCCTTACATACCTGTTCATTCTATCCTTTCGAATCATATTTTCAATGCGTAGTCGTTCTTATTATCATTAACCTTACGTTAAATAGATGATTTTGGCATTCATCGTATCAATTTCATCTCATCGCGCTGTTGCAGTATAACAACTTCGTTCACATTTGTACTAATCTGTACTTTGGTCATGACTGATTGTACTGGAAAGAAAATCCAGATTATTTAAGTCTACTGAACATAAAAAATCAGTGATAACTTGAAGAATCGAATCATTGATGTTTTACAGTCATGATTTATATCTTTGTTATCTGGACCACGTTAGTCATCATATGTGTATAAATTTTAGATCTTTTACTGATAAACATTAATTTATTTAATAGGAATGTAAACTTAAAACGGAAGATAAAGAAGTGTTACTTAGAAGCAATGAAGAATTACAAACTTGGACACAAAATGAGAATGATCATATTGATTGTGTTACAAATGAATCAAATACTGAACAATTGGAAAATGTTTTTGAAATAGATATTCAAGTTAGTAAGTGAAATAATTCCGTTGATTATATACCTAAATAAAATTAACATATCGAGACTGACATAGAATTATTCATCCATTCTTTCATGGAGAATTCTCGGAGTTCTAGTGAGAAGCCGTGACCAGTGGAGCTAATCCATGTCGGCTAGGGACAGATATCTACTTCAATACGATGGAAGATGGTGGGGTAATTTCGTGGATTGGTTGAGGTTAGACGGCTCAGTGGTGTACAGGTTAAGCGTTCACGCGCGAGGCCGAAGGTCCATGGTTCAAAAACCGAGAGCGGGATCATGGATGTGCACTGCCAAGAAGTCTCACAATAGGACGAAACGGCCGTCCAGTACTTCCATGTTTTCAATGGTGGTCTAACACCAGTCGGTTTAAGATCCCAATCAATAACTTGATAATCTCCACAACCCTATAATCTCATGGAATAGTTTGTTTCATAAAATAATAAGATCAACGTTACTGTATTTAGTTATTCACATCAGAACCATTAAAGATGACAGCTGGATTGAATTCACCAACTTATAAATAATTTAATTCCTGTAGGCATACAGAATTGGCATAAAAGTAAATGGTGAGAAGGAACTATTTCAAGTTTAATATTTGTTTATTCAGAAAATGGTATACTCGTTTTAAATGCACTTAACGCCATAATTATAAAAAGACTTATTCTAGCGAAACAACTTATGCCTATCTATTTGTGTTAGCACAACACATAGAATGCATAGTTTATAGATGACATTTAAATCTTTGGGAAATAATAATATCTTGCTGGTTTTTTCATACAAAAGATAGGCTTAAAAATGAAGTTAGAATTCAATTAGATATAAACTAGTGATCTGATAAAGTTAATGCTTAGATAGCGACATATACAATTTAGGTACCAAAACATAAATCAAGTGATTACCAGCTATTATCAATTCTCCTACTGTTTGTCTTGAACAATCCCGCCCACGAAAAAAAGACAACTTTCAATAGATTTTGATTTTTTCTAAAATTACGGTTTTTAGGCTCACAATCCTTACCTCTTCATTGTTATCACAGTTTACTTTTTTAATTAGAGCTTTTAGCGACAGACTTCTTAGTAGTGTGTCCCTACAGGATGTCGTTGTTTAACTCCTAGATTGTGAAGGGCTATTCAAAACTTATCTTTGCACAGTTAGTCTTAAGGTAATATTGAATTTATTAAAATTATTGCGTCAGTCAGCTGTCCTCCATGCACGACTTTGTAGTGTAGTCCGTTGTATGAAATCCGTATGATATTGACGATTTTCTCAGGTGCTCACTCCATAGTGTCGAAGTTTCCATAATGTTCTCTTAATCACACTGTCAAATGCTTTCAGATAATCAATGCTGTTGATGTGTAGTGACGTGTTTCATTCGATCGATTGTTCAACGGTGATCATTAGTGTGGCGATTTGGTTTGTGCACGACCGATCCATACGGAACCCGTTCTGTTGATTTCGGAGTTGGGCATCCACTGAGTCTTTCATTCGGTTCAGCAACTGTTTGCTGAAACCTGTTGCTGCTACTGACAGTAATGTGATCTCTCTGTAGTTCACACTTTTACTCAGATCTCCTTTCTTTGGCATCTTGATGAAATATCTTTCTTTCCAAACTATCGGCATTTATTCCTTCGCCGAAATCTTCCTGAATAGAACGTGGAGCATGCTTCCAATTACTTCTATGTGTGAATTCAGTACTTCAGGTGGTATATTGTCATGTCTTGCTATTTCCCACTCCTGACTTATCTGATGACTATCGTGATCTCTTTGATCGTTGTTGGAGTGACATCTTTGCTTAGGTCTGTGCTTGATGTTTCGATATCCGGTGGATTTAATGGATCTTGTCTATTCAAGAGTTTGTCGAAATTTTCCACACATCTGTTCCTCTGTCCTTCAATTTCAGTGATCGGCTTGTCTTCACTGTTTTTGGCCGGTCTCTCTGATTTACGCTATTTCCTTGCCAGCTTCTTCGACGTGTTATGTAGTTGTTTCATATTCTCTTACAGCTTTTTCCCTTATCCTTGTTAGGTCTTCCACATATTTATGCCTTTCGGATCTAACTTGTTTGCCTCCGTGCACTCAGCCTGTGTCTTGACTTTCTCTGCTCTTTTTCGACTGCTGTTGATTGCGGTCTTCTTGTTCTTCCTTTCTTCAGTCTTGTTTAGGGTTTCGATGGAGATTCATTTCCTAGTGATGATGCTGATTGCCGCCCATCGCTTCCTGACACGTTGAAGTTAATGCTTTTTCAATCTCTTTCAAATTGTCCTCCGTAGCAGTTTCTTCTTTCAGTTGATCCTGTATGGCTTGTAACCTGTTTTTGAGAGTTACCTTGAATTTGCTGAGTTCATCAGTATCTCGTAGGAAGTCTGTATTGATATAGTGGAGAAGATTTGTAGCTCAGGTGGATGATTTTGGTGGAGTTTTGTTCTCTGAGCTGGATGGTTTGGTCGTGAAGCTTTCATCGTTCTTCTGAACGACATCATCAGCACAAACTTCAGATAGAAGTGAAGTGTTCGAATTTCTCCATATGTGTTTCACAGCTTGTTCTGTGCACCTCGATGTTGATTGGTTCTTGTTGACCTTAAATTTGTCAGAGCAAGCTGTGAAACGCATGCAGAGAAATTCGAACACTTCACTTCTATCTGAAGTTTGTGCTGATGATGTCGTTCAGAAGAACGATGAAAGCTTCACGACCAAACCATCCAGCTGAGAGAACAAAACTTCACCAAAAAGTCTGTATTGATCCTTGGTAATGCTGTTTCCCTAACTGTCCAATGTTTCTTTTGCCTCAGCTTCATCTTGGCAACCACGAGCTAGTGGGGATATGAAGCTATGTCAGCTCCCCTTCTGGTTCTCACGTTTCCCATTGACCTTGTGATTTTTTTAGTGATACAAATATGATCTATCTGGTTCTCCGTGGTGTGATCCGGTGATGCCCGTGCAGCTTTGTATATGCGTTTGTGTGTGAATATTTTGCCACCTAAAACCAATTTGTTTGATGCACATAGATTTGCAAATCTGTCAACATTTTTGTTTCTTTTTCTCAGTCAGTCCATGTCGTCTCATGATATCTTCATATCCGATGTTGTCCATTCCGACTTTGGCGTTTAGGTCTCTCATAAGGATGGTGAGATCCTTTCTTAGTCATTTCGCTATGATTGATTGCAGCCTCTCATAGGATTGATCTTTATTGTCGTCGTTGCTATCATTGATAGGTGCATAAAACTGGCTGACATTCATTGTGATTTCTTCTCTCTTTGTTTTGAACGATGCTTTGATGATTCTGGATCCGTGAGATTCACATCCTATAAGCGCATTTCGTACTTCTTTGGAAAGCATCAGAGCAACTCCCTGAGTGTATGGAGCATTTTACTCTTCGTAATCAGAGTACAGCAACATATTTCTGGAATCTAACCTTTTCTTTCTGGCTTGAGTCTAATGAGTTTCACTGATTCTGAGCAACGTCAAGTTGTGTCTCCACATTTCCGTAGCTATTTAACTGGCCCTTCTGGTCTCCCACATTGTCCGGACATTCCATGTACCCATAAAAAATTTTGCTCTGCTTATCTTTTACTATATTTGATCAATATGTGTGTGATTGCGTTTTATTTGTTGTAATGATGTTACAACTTTGGGAGCAACCTGGGCGCTTCCATTGCAAACTATTTTTTTTACGAATCCATTAATGCACTTGTAAGCCATAGAACATTCACTCTGGCTTACATAATTCTTACTGTCCTGGTACCCATAATCATTATGTATTTAACTGGAGATATGGTTCGTTTTCCGAAGAGTAGTGTCGATAGAGGAAACTTTAAAAACAGTTTTCATGTCTATGATCCACGTTGTTGTCCAATGATGTGGCTTAGACGACACATCATTTAAGATCAAATGGTCAAATTGTTGGAAACACATCTCCTGCTCCATAGGAATAGATGGTTGTTTCACTTCTAACTAACATATTCCTTAATATGCGTAAGTCATTTTAATTTCTAATAAGGCTTGAGTACACTTCATAGTAGTTTATCTGGACTTACACACAACTGTTTAATCTAAATGGCTAGAACTGTTATGGGTCTTCGACTACAGCTACCTCTTATACATTGTTGAAATTGGGTAAGACTTTATAAGAATATAACTGCGGGTAATTATAGAGTATTAATTAAGTAGGTAGTCGGTTGGTGTGTCTAGTTCTGGAGTTTGTTCCTTCCAGTAATTTTATTTCTCCAAGTCACTGCTAAGAATGATAGTAACTTAATATAATCCTCTACTCTTGTATAGTATTCTACAGTACTATCATAAGAATGGTCAGTTAAAAGAGAATACTGTATAATCCAATTCTATAAATAACGAAAAAAAACGTTATCATCACTCACCGTTTTCATTAATTTTTAGTTCCAAATGGTGACAATTCAAAACCCATAAATAACTCGTCTGAATTCCAGTCAAAATCCACAGACGTTATTCCAACTATTGACAAAGGAAGTTCATCAAATAATATTGAAGAACTGGATAAAGAAAATACAGAAAAGGTTACCTTAAAGTAAGTAAAGTCATCTAAAATTAAATTCACATGACTCTTTTGTTCAATTGAGAGGTGCAATATTTTGTGTTGATCTCGGTTAAGTTTATAGGTAATTAATATCACAATTATTTTTAAAAGTAAACTATTTAACTTTCAACCAATGAGTTACATATTCACACTCCGCTCTTTCTACATCACTTTGAGCATCACCATTAGTCCTTATACAAAATGTTTGACTCAAAACTGATTGCATAATTTTGTACTTAATTACTAAAGTGTATAACTGTAAATCTTGCAATTTATAAAATAATTTAATTATAGTTACGAACCGACTGATGTATCTAAATTCTTTTAATCCCAACAAATTAACGAAAATTGTTCTAAGATTTGAATAAGAATGCATACGATGTGTAACACCAAGTTCATAGTCCTTTAAATAACTGTCAGAATAAGATTGTTTTGCATTCACTGTAAAATATTGGTTAATTTTAAAGCGTTTTCAATGTTCACTTGTTTACTGAAACAGAAACTTCTATTGATAATATTTTAACCAGTGATATAAATTTATCAGTATTGATTGAGATCTTAAACCGATTGATGTTAGACCACCATTGAAAACATGGAAGCACTGAACGGCCGTTTCGTCCTATTGTGGGACTCCTCAACAGTGCACATCCACGATCCCACTCGCGGGATTCCAACCCAGGATTTTCAGTCTCGTGCGTGAACGCTTGACCTCTACACCACTGAGTCGGCATCCAACACTGTTAATATCTAACCTCAACCAATCCACGAAATTGCGCGAGCATCTTCCATCGTACTGAAGTAGATTCCTGTCTCTAACCGACACGGAAGCCGTGACCAGTGGAGCTAATCCTTGTCAAGTAGAGACAAGTATCTACCTCAGTTCAACGGAAGATGGTCGGGCAATTTTGTGGATTGTTTGAGGTTAGATATTAACAGTATTGGATGCCGGCCGGCTTAGTGGTCCAGAGGTTAAGCGTTCACGCGTGAGACTGAAGATCCTGGGTTGGAATCCCGCGAGCGGGATCGTGGATGCGCACTGTTGACGAGTCCCACAATAGGACGAAACGGCCGTCCAGCGCTTCCATGTTTTCATTGATGGTCTAACATCAATCAGTTCAAGATCTCAATCAATATATAAATTTATATCTAGTAGAAATTCCATATTATTGATTATCTCTCCTCGATTTGCTGGTTGTTTATTATTGTTAGTCGACAGAATAGAGATGTTTTGTTTTTCAATTGTTAGCTTATTTTTCATGATATAGGATTTATATCGTTTGGTCAAACTCTTATACCTTTACAAATTTTATGTTTCTTTGATTTCTTTAATTTTCCAATCAAAATTATATCTATATTTATTCATGTACACATTTAAATTGGTAATGATACATTCTAAAGCTTCACAATCAAATGCTATTCAGATTAAGCGTTATTTAGTAGTTCATAGAATGGTACTTAAGCAATAATTGTACATCTATGTCCTCTGAAACTAAACCAGATGATAAAAAGTTATAACAGGTAACGTGAAGTCAAACGGTGTGTGGAGGACTAGTAGTTAAAATATTTAATTTTTAGTCACTTAGTATCATGTTTGAGTACCGACCCACTTTGACTTAGGATGTCGTATGGTATCACTAACCCAAACACATAAAGTTTAACTCAAAACATGCCATGCAAATCTATGCTTGGCGAGCAACATTACTGCTTCCAGTTTTTATTATGTTTCATAGATATATTCTTTGGGCGACTCCGATCATATATTGTCTGACATCGACAACAAGTACATTGAAATTGATCCAATTTACCAACCAATCAGGAAAATTATTCCCAAACATAGGAACAAAAACCAAACCAATGGGAGATATTACGGAAACAAAGAAGTAAACAATGATAGGTTTAAGGTCAACAAGAACCAATCAACATCGAGGTCTACGGGACAAGCTGTGAACCACATGTGGAGAAATTCGAACACTTCACTTCTACCTGGAGTTTGTACAGATGATGTCGTCCAGAAGAACGATGAATGCTCCACGACCAAACTATCCAGCAAAGAGAACAAAACTCCATCAAAACTCTCTGACATCACCAGTTTCAATTGATTCAAATTACTGATTATCTTATGCTTCTACTTTCTTTTCTATCTTTAACACATCAACCATTTTACTTCAAGTTTAGTTAAAGTAATTGAAAGTAGGGCTAATCTGGATGCAATATAAATTTTACGAAGATGATCAAGATAATTGTACAAAAGCGAAAAGACGAACGTTTGTGTAAAACTACAGTGTAACCATTTAGAATAAATCAAATAATTAACATTTCTGGTCATCTTTAAAATGTCTAAGAAGATTGGTTGATGAGAAAAGGATTATTCAGCTTGACAGTTATTTTCTCACTCTTGTACTAATTTATTAAGAACTGATTGTCTTGACAAAGTCAAATTACAACTCACAGTGCAATAATAGGCTTATGTTAGTAATGTGTGTTTAAACATTTATATTTGCTTTTTAAGAGTCTTTCAATGAATTCAAATAAATTATCTTCACTATTTTGAGTGATTATTAAACTAGTAGAGAACACAGTTTATCAGAATTACTCAGCTCTTTGATTAGTTCAGAACGTTGTTAGACGTATACGGGGAGTTGGTACTTATCGGTCGCCAATTGTTAAAAGATGATTTTTAGCGAAAAGGTAACTCGACTACGGGTGCTCGTGAAAACCTGAGAATGTGAATACAAGGCTTAAGGGACATTTACTAGTGGTCGACCACACAGTTTTTCTGCGAATAAACCTTTTCTCCCACAATAGGAACCTATGAAACAGGATAAGATACAGCATTCTTTAGGCTGATCATTTCCAAGCTCCTATTTTCGTCATGAGAAGATACCGTTGCTGTTAACACTGGTTGTCTAAGAGAAACATCTACTAATGCCATATCTCTATACAACCAACAGTACGAAGCCCCCCCCTTTGGACCATGAGTTAACTACTTATAGTCTTACCCACTCTCTAACCACCTTACTTGGCATGGTCAAATACATAAGGTGGTAACAAGAGTCTTTATTTCAGATAATGTTTTGTTCAATCTATTAAACTGTTATGGATAAACTATAATAAATTTACTTCTTTACATTTTTTTAAATATTTTTTACAGAGATTTAATTCAATATCTTCAAGATACAAATCATTGGCCAAATGAATTTTATATTTATCGTCTTTTAAATAAATCTAATCCTATTAATAATCAATTAAATAAAGATAACTTGGATAATAAAACTACACAATTAAACATGTATCCAAGTAATCCATTCAATAATGTACAAAAAAATCAATCAACACGTTCTAATTTTTTTCGTAAAAAATCATCTATCAATTGTGAATTATTATATCCGGAAGATTTTCTTAAATTAGATACTGATAAAATATCATTCAATTCTATATGGATTGTATGGTCTGATAAATGTATGTTAGCTGAAACAGCTGCTTTAATATTATTGAAACATTTATCACAGGTAAATTAATTTGATTCTATTGAATAATTATGGCAAACTATTATGTAATATTGATATACTTGATTCAGTCAGTCAGTAACAACATAGAACTTCGCACGTACGTACATCAGTTCGAGTTGCCATATCACATTAGCACAGAGATGTAGTGGTCGATTCAAATCCTGTAGTGGTAGAGGTAGTAAGAGTATAAGCAGTAATTGGAAAGATTAGGGTTTGGAGATGTTATTTAAAGAGTATAATCTAGTGAAATAAATTTGGGAGGAGGAAAAAAAGAGACAAGGAGGAATCAGGAGATTAGAATTTGGGAGAACACAAAGAGTGTATGCACCTGCGCGATTGCAAACGATTTTGAGCCATGTCATTCAGGGTCTTTAACCATCGGTTGCTATCATCTCGCGGTCCCCAACCAGGTAGTCTACACCTACCAACATGACTCAGTCCACTTGTCAGTGACCTCATGGATTTGTTATCATGAATTCACCTTACTTGATAAACGGAACAAAAAGTCAAAGATACAGTGAGTGATACGATAGGCTATTCTAATCTGTTGTCGCCGACCCTGTGAACTAGATCAAGAATTCTTCATGAGGCGAAGAGAATGTATTTTATAAGCACTCAGAAAATACGAGGTCACTAAGCACACAAATCAAGTTTATTTATACAGTGATGGAAACGCCATCAGGAGAGCTACAAAATAGCGTACTAAAAAAATCCGAGTGTGAAATGTAAGCTGTAGGTTAACTAAGCGTCTCTTGGCGCGAAAACATAAAATTCAAATTTTCAGAATAAAATTACAAAATTAGGACCTTTTCCAAGTGTGAGTTCTGGGGATCTAACGTCTTCAACAAATACTATTACCTGTCTAAACTAAAATTGTATTAATTTCAAATGATTATTATCAGAATATGGATTTGTGATCTAGCTTAAGTTGACTACTAAGATTTTGAATGAGTTTTATAAAGATCATTTTTAGTTCATATACAAGTGAAAACCAGAAAACACTGGTTAGAGTTGGTTTTGTTAGAATCATTAAGTTTATCATTCAATGATATACATTTCTAAATTCGATCGATTTAAGATTATTCGCTGTGGTAGCCTATTAAACTAACTGGTTACTAAAAATAACAGAGAATCTTATCTCCAAAGATTGTCGTCAATATATATATATATATATATATATATATGATAAACATGACATTACATTCATGTTAACTACAGTATACATCACCAAATTAAGATAGTTTGTATTGACTCTTTTTTATTTCAAATAAAGTTTAGGTAGAAATGATACACATTCATCACAAAAGCGTGAATGTATTCGTCCTACTATCGGAAGTATTCCAACTCTTTCTTGTTTGTTGCTGTGAACTAATTATGCATTCAGTAGTAGATAAATGCTATTGTCATCGAACAGCATCAATTTCTAGAAACAATTGTCAGTAAGGGATTGTGGAGATTGTTGGAAATGGTTAAAATCATGGAACGAACTATGTTAAAACACCATTGTAAAACTGGAAGCACTGGATATGTATTTTGCCCTAGTATGAGGCTCCTCAGCAGTTATGACCCTCGATCCCACACGTGGGAATCAAACTGAGGGCCTACAGTCTCGCGCGCAGTCTCCTAACTTCTAAACTACTAGGTAAGCATCCAACGGTGTTAGTGTCTAACTTCAACTAATCCACGAAATTGAGCGACACATCCACCATTGTACTCAGTGAGCTGATATCTCAACATCAGGTCTGGTTGAACTCCACTGGTCACGGCTTCTCACTAGAACTCCAGGAAATACTTCTTGAAGTCAGTCACCAGTGATCAGATGATTATTATCTGAGTGGGTTTTGTGGAGATTTTAGTAATTTCAATAGTCGGAATCATGAGCCAATTGAAGCTAGACGACCGTGGATGAGCACTGCTGAGGAGTCCCATACTAGGACAAAACGGCCGTTCAGTGCTTTCGTGTTTTCCATAGTGGTCTAGCTTCAATTGACTCATGATTTCAACTATGAAATTACTAAAATCTCCACAAAACCCCATCTGATAATCTCTAATTAACTGATTTTCCTAACTCTTACATTTAGAATAATTCAATTTCATCTTTATCATTTTTATTATTTTCAATAACCACTTCACATCCCAATACACTATTATTCTCCATAGACTGAAAAAAATATTCGGTTAGAAAAAGATGCTTTACATCCAGCATATAATATTATACTTCAACAACATAAACGCGATCGTGGCTCAGAATTCCCATTGATGAATTCATCTTTTAATGAAACAACTGATGATTATGAGACAGAAATACAAACTAATCAATCGAATACAATCAACACTAGTAGTACTAGTGGTTGGTTATGGTGGAGAAAACGAAAACAAACTAATCCAAGTGATATTAGTTCAGATTCTGGTTCACAAGATTTAACTTATCAAGATTTATCACATCAGCATTCTTCTGTACAATCAATGCTAGCTCCAATTGATCTTGGTATATCAAGTCCAGTTTTAATGCAAGAAGAATTTGATCAAGAGAATTATGAACGGTGAGCATAAGTGAAAAGTAATTTATTTTTTATAAGAATTCTATACTTCAGTAACTGGTAGTTTAGTGTGAATAAGAAGTAAGCTGTGTATAGATCAATTGAGTAGTTATGCAAACATTCATTTGTATTTGTCATTTGGATCTTCCCATTGATGTTTAAGACTGAAACTGATCGGTCTCTTATTGGCATATGTGCATCATGTGAGGATTGCTTCGATATTTCCCCAAATCACAAACATTATAAGCATGGGAGGATGGTAGCTAGCAGAAGAGTTGGTAGCACAGTGAATGATCTAAAGGCGTTTAAAACGAACGATACTGTGTTTGAGTGACGGAATGAACATCAACTCTGTTATTCAGGTACATTCAGCTGATAAGTCCCAAATAGGACAAATCTCGCGTACTGGACCCCTCTGCTAGCCATTATCCATCTCTAGATATGCGAATATGTCATGATAAAGTTTATTCTATTGCATATATGTAACACGTCCCAACCGTGTGAAGAATGAGAAAGAAAAGAAGCAATAAACAAACAACTCCCATGTATCAGAATACTTGAAAACATTTAAATGGGTTTACAATTCGTAAAAGTGGACATTACAGTAGTTAGTATTAATTAAGCCCAAGTAATATTATGTGTACTCTCTTCCTTTAGGGTTATATAGTGCCAGAATTTGTGAAAGTATTAAACATTTTCATATCTAGTTACAAACATTAGTAGTTCTTTTGAGATACGAAACTTAACTTATCATGAATTGTGACTTGATTTTAAAATGTATTATATAATCTTATTTAACTGGATTCAAATTTTATTCTTGTTAAAAAACGCCTCTCTGTTTTTGGTACTTATATTATATAGTCTATACTCAGCATTGTATCTGTCAATTTAATCCATCTTATACGAAGATGAGACCGAAAATGACATGAACATGTTTTTTATGTAACGGCCTATCAACCACATATATCGTAGTGTAACATCTGGTTAAGCCTTAGTAGGTAAGGCGAGGCTTGAACTAGATTAAAGGTCTAATCTTCTAATTCAAGTACTTCCCATGAGATTGGTAAAGGAAATATACAATATTGAATTTCACTGCCCCCGAAGTTAGAAAAAGCCGCACTGCTTCAAATTCCTCATCCAAGAATTGTTGTCGTACCTCAGGGAATTGCACTCATGGTTGTGATGTACATTCCTACGAACAACAGTCCAGTAACTTTCAATAATCTTACAATAGATAAAGACTGGACATTGAGTGTTTTTATTGCAGTCGTTCATGAACAATATAATAACACTATTCAAATTACCTCCTTCGTCTAGACGGTTTTGAGGATCCGCTAGGTGTTCTACGGCCATCATGAATCGCATAAAGGCAGTACATGTGTTTATTGATCTTTCAATTAATAAGCTACCGTCACATAACTCAACAACTGATAGCTTCGACTGATAATTGTCGTTACTTTTTAATCTATGTCAGTTTTGATTTTTAACTTATTACTTGTTAATTGTATTGTCAATTCTCACATTTTAAATTTTATTATCATATCCTGTATAATCTCATACTGGGAACGAATATTATTTGAACAGTCCTTACAATCTGCCTAAAAGTGAATTGTTAAGTGTACCAACTACTGCTAAAATTCCTTTACATTCTTCAGCAATCGATGTAAGATGTAGTAAAACACCAGATCCTTCACAGACATCATCTCCTGAAGAGGCAGGATATTTCTCGGATGATAATCAAAGTAATAATGCTTATCATAAAAAAACAACTGCTAATATTGAGTCGAGGAGTTCAATTCAACAAGCAAATCGTTTAACATCTCAACAGCTTGTAAGTTGACAAATATCAATTCTTCTTTACTAGTATGTTTGTTTATAATTAACAGATAGTTATCCTATAATTTAATTACAGTTTCGAACTTTTTTAAAAAGTGATCTCAAGGATTTTTGGTTTAAGTTATGGTAGTTCACTTGATATTTTGATTGTTTTAAGTCTATAATTAGACTTATTCCATTGATTATAGTTCCCTTCTAAGCACTTCTCGCGTATCATGGATGAGAAATCCTGAGATTAAGCATAAGTTGCTAAACAAAGATAGGAAATCGATTGGTGGGAGTATAAATCTCCTGAGATTGAGATAGTTGAGACATATGTTATGTGTGACCGACTACCTCGACTATATGATTCGCGAGAAAGAATGAATTCGTGGAATGAAAAGTACTAGATAGTTTAGATGCTTAGGATCTACAAAAAGAAAAGAGTGAATGTCCTTAAGCCATTGTGAGCGATTCTGAACCATTTATCATTCATTCGACTGATAGAATCCTGGATAAGGTGATGTAATGTGAATTTAAAGGAATCGTAAAATTTAGTGTATTGCTTTGTAACCTATCAGTAGTGATTCTCTGTTTTCTATAATAACTAAAGTTCCCCAAAAATTACTGGAATTTGGACTTTTAGTTGGAACGTTGTATAACATATGTGTCGTATAAAAGGTTTCTTAAAGGTCTTTCAATAATTTGACCCTCCTTATGTAAGTATCATGATATTATTATATATATTACCTGAAAAGTACAGGTACATTCGTACTAAAACCTTGGACCATACTAATTAGCAGTGATACTGTGAATTCTTGATATCGTTTCTTTGGTAAAGCTGACGATATTATTGAATGGCATTTATGTCTTTAAGATGATTGTTTAGTCTGTAGTCTTATTGAAATCATGTATCAATCAATGTTAGACCACCATTGAAACCTGGAACCACTGGACGGACGTTTCGTCGTGGTATGGGACTCCTCAGTAGTACGCATCCATGATCTAACATCGATCGGTTCATGGTTTCAATGAAATTCAACTACCTACACAAACCCAAATCGATAATTTTTTATTCTTTAGTAATGATCAAACTTAGCATTACTTTTGTTTCCGAGGTTTAATCCATCATACAGATAGACTGACTAAAGAGTCTGTACAATCTTTTTTATTAAATCTTTTTTCACTGTATGTGTTAGAAAGTGTTCGACTTCTTTTATCTACAATACTGATATCGTTCATAGAACTTTATTCTGTCTTCTTTTTTCGACATGATCTATATAGGTATATCCTGCCTATTATGTAAACAAATTTCCAAAGAAACATCCGACATTAGTTATTAGTGTAAGGAATTTGTGGAGATTTTTGATTTACAAGGTTTACATCATGAAGTGACTTTAGTTAGATAACCATTAAAAGGCATAAAACACTGGACAACTGTTTCGTCCTAGTATGAAACCTGTTATCAGTGCGCATCCATAACTACATCGGTAATTGAACCCAGAACTCTCAGTTCTCTCGGCGTCAGCTTAACCTTGAGACCACTGACTCGGTATTCAATGATTTGCATTTCTAATTTCAGTCAATTCACCACATTGCATAAGAATCTTCTAATGCCACTGATGGATAAGTATTTCAGGTTCGATTTGGTTGAACTCCACTAGTTACAGCTTCTAGTAAGAGCTCCAGGGTTTAGTCACTGGTGAGCACATTATTATTATTATTAGCTTAATGAGATTTGTGGTCAGTTTGTAATGCAAACTATAATATTAGTTGATTGAATAATGAAATTCTTGATAACTTATTTCAATATTATTTTGTTTTGTAGAAAAGCCTTAATTTACACAAAGGTGCAAATGAAGCGGTTTTTTCTGTTGTCAGTAAATATCAAGGTACTTGTCAATGTGCTTGTTTTATATATCTATGGGATTGGTCTGATAAAATTGTAATATCAGATATTGATGGAACAATAACAAAGTAAGTAAGAGAAGTGATTCTCACATGAATTTTGTTCTATTTCTATTGATTAATATGTTATAAAAGATAATTAATCAATTTTAACATAAGATATCTAGAAATTTAGGTTGTCTATACCTAAAATCATAGATTAACTCATTGTTGATCATCATAAGAACTCTGAATAATAATGATCTTGTCATTATTGTATTCACTTCATTAGATAATGTTTATACAAACTGTCAAAATTACTTACTTACGCCTGTTACTCGTGGAGGAGCATAGGCTGCCGACCAGTACTTGTTATTCAACCCTGTCCTGAACAATCCTTTCCAGTTTTTTCTCTCACATAGTAGGCTGTTGATGATAGTATCGGGCCAACGGACATTCAGTATCTTACGTAGACAACTGCTTATAAATATCTGTACCATTTTGACGGTGGTTGTGATAGTTCTCATGGTTTCAGCTTCATACTGTAGAACTGTCTTGACGTTCGTATTTTCAAAATTAGTCCAACCTTAATGATATGAACTGTTAATTGAGTTATTATTATGTTGAGCAGAAGAAATAAAGCAACCTCTCATTGAATTAGTAGTTCCGATAGAATTTTGATCGGAAGTGTTAAGATTTTTTATTGACATAATGTTATTTTCACTATATTGTGGGATATTATACATTTTCTTATCAAGCCTAATCTAGCTAGAGAGTGAATGAAGCTTCTATAAAGTTGTTCATATATTTGATATTAAATAACATCACTTCTTGGATTTCATACAGATAGCTAAAAGACATCACCTTGTTCTTGATCCTAGAACCTGCAACCAATCTGTACTTGTTCAACTTTTTATTACATTTGATAACGGAATATTGTGAAGAGATCAGCATGAGGCATAAAAAACAGACAAACTAAATGGTACTAGCAATGGTGAAGGAAAATAGGATAGGAAAAGGTAAGAAAAACCAAGAAAAGTTTTGGCAGGACAGAGACCTGGTCAAGGTCTGTTTTAGACAGAATCATGTTGAAGCGCTCTGACTGATCCATTTCCAGCCAATCAGCGCTAATGAGGGGGTTGAGAAGATTAGAATATTCTTGTGTTAAGTTAATATGTACACTGTGCTATGTCCAATGGTCTGTAAATTATCACGTGACGAGATCGTCATTTAGAACACCGATCTATACAATCTTTACTCTACGACAAACTAATGACGCTCTAACCAACACCAGCAGTCTAGAGTCTACTCTGAGTCCTTATTAGTTCTTCTCTCCTAGCCCTGCTCGTTTGAGTTGAGAAAACAATCTCAGCTCACACCGTATAAATCATGTATTTCAGACATACTCAGTTGGTATACAAGCGAACCAGACCACATCATACCGTAAAATAGAAAATAACAATTATACAAGATCAAGTCCAAAGTGAGTGTGTAAGAGACTGTAACTAATAGATTGAGGATAACTTAAGAATAGTAAATCGTATAATAATAGCCAATAAGTCAATCGAAAGTTTATGATAAAAGGAATATATATATATGTAATAATAGTCCATAAGTAATTCCTAGTAATTACTATTCATTTATTCTTCGATCGGATATAACACACATTTTGTTACCTAGCTTGACTTGCTGTTTTACTTCTGACCAAATTTACATTACTGTCCAAGTCTTGTTTGTTTAGGGAATCGGTCACCTGAAGTGAAGTGTTCAAGAATACTAGGCCGATGAAGACTTAAAACAAAGATATAAGTAATACGTTATTAAATATACTTAAATAAAGATAAACACTTGGTACAGCTTTTATGTCACACGTTCTAAGTAGTTTCATTCGAACTCTCTAATTATTGATTACATTTGACACATAACTTCAAATCGAGTATGTTTTTGATTCCATACATGATACAAATCTAATGAACTGATCCTTGCACCTACTTAGCATTTTTCTAACTGTCTCTTTTGTCAGTCAGTGTGACATGGTTCGATCGGAGATGGCAAAGTATGCGTAACATATGTTGATAAAGGTTTAGATCCTCATCGACTAGTTTGCGGTTTTCAACCTTCGTCTGACATCAATACGGATCAACCAATGATTCTACCACAAGCTGTAAATACATCGAGCACATCTATACTTAGTGTACATATAGAGATTCCCTTGAATTTCACTTCTGTAAACATTTATAGAGTTGGACTGGGGCCGGTGGTACTTTTGCTTTGATAGGTTCACAGATTTTCTGTTTGATCAATGACATAACTTATCAAAAGTCGGGAAAACTATGTGTTGAAACTAAAATTTAACCACACTGTCTCTTAGAACAGCATTATACATCCATTTGATTTTTCAGTTTTGGTGAGAATCTGTAAATTTTATGTTTGATTAGTCTAATAAGTAAATAAATGGCAAATTTTTTGTGTAAACTATTCTCAGTGCACTTCCTACTTTTCTTACTGATAAACCATCTACTTAGTATCGTATAGGACACCAGTGAAAAACCTGTGCACAGTCAATCATGTCTCAAGTGAGGTAATGAATCACCACTGTACACTGTTTGAAATATGGATTGTTGGATTTCATCTCAAATTGTCTGGAGTTACGGTGTTTACAACTCATGAGACTTCAAAGCGTATAGGCCTAATCAAGTTTTGGGTACACATTGTTGTGATGCCATAAACTCTTTACTCTAGCTGTTACCTTGATGTGGCATTAGGGCTTGCTTATCATGATGACTCAGTCGCGTTATACTGACTAGAATACTCATATGTCTTTTTAGGTCCTAGCATGTTAGTAGGTCAGTTAGAGAATAATAGGACTGAAATCAGAGGACGAAGTCGTATAGTTGATTGTACTGAGATGTGACAGCAGTAGGGTTTTTCCCGCAAACAACTATCATCATAACGAAAAGAAGAGGTTAGAGGCTGGTTCGTATGAGCCACAGCTCTCCTTGTTCCACAAATTACTGTTGCTGACGATAAGCACATCAAATTACAAAGCTAACATGTGAATAACTTCTAACGAAAAGGCCGTCTGTGATTAACCTCAAGTAGTTGTTCTATAGGCTCTGAGGTTATACCCTCAGATCGACAAGACCACTCCTGATGTAGTTTTCTTTTCAGGTACCCCAAGTAAAAATATACTTCTTCAGTTTGTGAGATAGGAAAGTAACAACTCTTCACATAACTCTATCAGCAGAAACTATGACAAAATAATTGTTTCTTAATACCGGTTAATAAAATATTTCATTTAATAATTATAGATCAGATTGGTTAGGACAATTGATGCCATTGGTTGGAATGGATTGGACTCATCATAATATAGCTCAATTATACAATAAAATTGCTAATAATGGATATAAATTTATTTATTTATCTTCTCGTCCTATTGGTCAAGCTAGAGCAACAAGGAAATTTCTTTATACCGTTCAACAAGATAATTATCGTCTACCAGATGGTCCAATACTTTTATCACCATTTTCTGTTCTGGAAGCATTCCGCAAGTAAGTAATCGAATTTATCGTATGCATTTTCAAATATGCGTATATAGATTTTCAAACTAAGACGTAGGATCAGTATATGAAGCCATTGACTGTCGAGTTAACCCTATGCAGTTGGGTGCAGATTATCTGATTGGGTTCCTGACGATTATCATAACCAATGTTTAGTGATGTTGGGTGACATGGTTTGGAGTTGGTCACAATTACATAAATGCATTCATTCTCGTACATCTTGAGTCTTAAAATTCGTCATCTTGTTTTTTTTATTCCACCAATTCATTCTTTCCTCTCAAATCATATTGTTTACAGCAAAAGTTTTCTACTGACAACAATACTGTTACTACTTCTACTACACTTGTATTTGTCTTGATAATTTAATCTCACTGTGCCATATGTTGTGTGGCAATTTGAACAGATACATATATGTTCCCGATTCTGTTTTCCGTATGTCTGGCTGACTGGTAGGTTGTTTGTTGTCAGTAAAATTTCAAAGTTTCTCAGTACGCTGTCTGAGTTTATAAATAAAAGTTAACTAACATATACCACATGTATTAGTCAATACAAAGTATGATATACTCGTGGATGCGCACTGCTGAGGAGTCCCATACTAGGACGAAACGGCGGTCCAGTGCTTCCAGGTTTTCCATGATGGTCTAGCTTCAACTGACTCATGATTTCAATCTGTGAAATTTCTATTAATAAACATTGTTTTTATAATTGTTTTCAGAGAAGTAATTGCAAAACGAGCAGATGAATATAAAATTGAATGTCTTCGTGAAGTATGCAATTTATTTATTGGTGATAAACTTAATCATCAAAATGAAGATGAAGAAGATAGTATTCCATTTATAGCTGGATTTGGAAATCGACCAACAGATATAGCAACTTATAAAGCAATTGGTTTACATGATCATCAAATATATACAGTTGATTATTTAGGTAATGTAATATGTGGTGATCCAGGAGAAAATGAAAAAGATAAGAAATTAAAGAAAAAGAATAAAACTTCTCATGTTAATTCTAATCAACAATTAAATAATGAGAATAAATCTACTTCTAGTGTTACAACTACTTCAGAAACAATTATCACATCATCAACAATATCTTCTGATAGTTTAATTAATACTACTGCTACTACTACTACTACTACTACTACTACTACTACTACTACTACTAATAATAATAATAATAATAATAATAATAATACAGGACTAACTACTACAACAGTATACGCTAATAGTGTATTAGCTAAACTTAATTTAAATTCATTATTACAAATGGTTGATGTATACTTTCCACAAATGAATGATCGACTTATGTATGCTACAAATTATTCAGATTATACATATTGGAGAATGTAAAGAAGAATTAATCAGACAATTTTTGGATTGTTTATTTTGTTATCAATATTACTATTATTATTATTGTCTCCTACGATGATTGCAAATCTGAAGCGTTTCCACTTTGATCCAAATTTAAAAGCATTTATCATGTAGATATTTCTGTCGACAACAACAATAATGATTATTGTTATTATTATGTCATTAATCATTGGCACTTCCCTCCTCTCTCCCTCCCCCCTTCCCTGATTTATCCATTTTATAAGACATTGTGAACGGATTCCATCGACTACTCATCTCAATCAATATTAGTTGATGTATGTGCAATTTCTTTAAAGACTAGGTTTTCTTTTCTTTTTTTAAAAAATAAAAAGAAAACAGGAAATTTTTATACAAAAAACTTTTTGTTCAAGAAGAGTATTATTACTATTAGTAGTAGTAGTAATGTTATTTTGAGTCTTGAAATTATAATATGATTATTGTGTGTTATGAATAAATGTTTGACATATTCGTTTGTTATGTTAATTACATTTCTCAGTCCTACAGGAGGTCAGTCGCGGCTCGGATAGCTCAGTGGTAACGTCTCTGATTGTGAAGCTGGGTGACACGGGATCGAATCCGCCAGGGAGTACCAGTTCCCTCAACATTACAGGTACACCTTGCTGACCAGTGCCAAGTAACATGAAACCCGGGTCCAGGGTTTCCTATCGACTACCTCCAACCACCATCTAACGTAATGATTTGTTTATTTAGGTGAATGAATTTTTTATTGATGATTACCACCGGGTGACTTTCTTCTTTTCTTGATATGAATTTTAGAGTATATATATATAGACCATATTTGAGATGTTTACAGGGTTAATAAGAGAAAAAAGGAATGAAAATAGCTGTTATGTGGGATTTAGAATTATTGTTAATCTTCAAAACAGATGAATCCGATGTTTGATAGGTCATTTTGAGGATAGGAAGCTTGAAAGTTTACTATTCACCTGTAACACTAGTAATAGGTGGTTATGTATTATGATGGACTGGCTGTAATTATAGGAGCAGTGGTGTGCGAAATAACCCGAGTACTGATTATTCCACCTAGATTGGGCCTATATAGGATCAATGATCTTCGACCAGTCAATCACTAAATAACAGTGAAACAAAAGCCAAGATCAATCCTTAACATCTTTTGATCCAGAATGCAGTTCTCTCATGTTTGCTTATCGGGTAGCCAGATTAGAACGCTAAAAAAGCAAGTAGATAGCTTCTATTTGTACAGATCAATTTTATGACTCAACTCACAATAATTCGGAGTAAACTGTTGACCATACACTAATATAAATATAAATTACAATATATTCATAACTACACGTATAAGTGAAAGAAACAGTTCCATCCGTAATTAGGAATAACTTGAGAAAGATGAAACATAACAATAGTTTGTGTCAAACAAAAGCTTACAAATAGTAGAGAAGTAAAACGATTCAATAATCGAAGTATTTAGTAGCTATACAATAAAAATCGGAAAAACTTTTCGGTAGAACCTTACGAAACATTCATCCATGATCAATATTTGTCCCATTATAGCAACAGCAAATCACCTGTTTAATCAGTTATTTTCTAATTGATGATAAGAGGATCCAAGGTTTTATCAAATATCTAGAGTGGCGTTTGAAAGGTAACGGTATTGAAACCTACCTGAAAACACTACAGTTGTTAGATCTTGTGAAGTGTTTTATAGCTCAGTTCGAAGAAGCATTTGATAACCCTGTGTTCATTAGACTGGTTGACTTAATTATAACATAGGTCTTATTGATGTTTTCTAGAAGGAAAATTAAAATTTCTTAATTAAACTATTCAGATCAGAAAATTGAATATCATTACAATGTTAAGCAAACTTCTTATGATCGAAGTTCATCGATTTACATATTCAGATGACAATTTACTAAAACACATTACAAAAATTTATCTCTATGAATTATGAACTCAGTTAACGATGTGATAAAATCAATACATAGCTGTTACCTATGTAAAGTTCCTTTAAAGAGGAAACCGGAAATAACAATATTTCTGAGGTGAAACAAACTACATAGGCTGCTTGTTTATCCTTATAATTAAGGAACTACTGAAATAGAGCAACATCTACATTTATTTATTCATTTATAAAGTAAAAAAATGTTTATTTTGAAGAGAGAGAAAGATAAATCAGTATGAAAACTTAATGATGGTTCATGGTCATTGAGCAATGAGTTCATAGATGTTAGTTATTCTCTTCTTCTTTTATCATACATTGACAATTTATTGAATAATAAATTCACTTCGTGTTGTTATTTACTTGAATCTTCTCATTGATGTTTAGAAGTATAATTGATCAGTGTCTTGTTACCATATATATATCACGTACAGCTTGCCTAGATATTGTGTCAAGTCACTAGCATTATAAATTTGGATATAATGGAATCTAGGATGCGAGTTTCGTCCTCTTTCAGGGTTTTATTGGTTACCGGAGCTCAGTAGTTAAGTAGTTAGCACGATGGTGCTTGTAGCAAACAGCAATGAATGCGTGCACATCCAGCTGACGAGTCCCAAATGTGAAGAGACGCGGTATTCAAGTAGTGGACTCCTAACAGCCTTCATCACGACTTTGTAGAATCAAACTGGAGTATGACAAAGCATGATTATCTTAATATGACAAGTGATGTTCGATTAATTGCTCTCAGGATTACTCATTAAGTTGTTGAAACTGTTAGTAGTTATTAAACATAGTGTTTTAAATACTACTGTTTACACTAAAATAAAATGTAGACACTTTGTAATAAAGTTTATCTAAGAAACCATAATCAGTAGGTGGTTATATACACTTGTTGTTTACTTGCATCAGTCTCTTGTTGGAATATGTGCATCCTGCCTTGATATTGCCTGAAGTCACAAGGTTTATAAGCTAATAGGGATAGCACGAAACGCGTGTCCTGCATTCCACTGCTAGCTACTATTCATCTTTGTTTATAAAGTAGGTTGTAATGTTATCTAAATTGAATGAGTTATCTGTAAAGCACTCGTCACTTTTTTACACAGTGTAACTAACGCAAGCTGTAAGTTGAAAATAAAGGTTTTACATCGGATTCGTTTTTGGTTTGTTGAATAGAGAAAGAACTATTTGAAATGGTTTATATGAGATCGTAAGTGATAATTATAATTAAACCGCCTTGTCACTTAATCAGGTATGAATTAGCTCAATGTGTGAGAAAGTTGTTGGGTCTGTAAACATATAACGTTAAGTAATATATGAATACATTTCACCTTTACAACAAATATCTACATTTCTACTGACTCCACACTGACGTGAATGTCAGATTTTTAGGAATCTGTTAACATTCTTAAAGTTTAAAATTTCTGTAAGATTAGTGTTGTATTAAGGCTTAACTAATCATGTTATATGAACAGAAACAAGCGTCATTTATATTCCATTTTAATGAATTGATAGAAAGCCATCGGTTTCAAAAGATTTGAAAAAAGTATGCGTTTGAAAAGATGCTGTTTCTAGTCAGTCATAAGAAACAAACAATCTGGCACTTATATGCATCAATTCAAATCACCATATCACATACATATGCACAATGGGATGAAATTTTCAAGACAAATACCAGCGTTGTAGAAGTAGTAACAGTATTATTGGTAGTGCAAGAGATTAGGTATAGACAATATAACTTGATAAGAAAAAATGAATTGGTTAAATAATAATCAAAACGTTAATTTTGAGGCTGAAGACCTAAAGGAAGACAAAGTGTATGCATTTGCTCCATTGTAACCCATTTCGAACAATCTCACTCTATATCACCAACTATTATTTACGAAAACCACACGGATCCCAACCTACCTACATCAGGTCATTTCAATAGTCAATGACTTCATAGACTGATGCTATGTTTTAGTTATTGTCAATTACTTTTGTCTCACTTTAGCAAAATTTGCTAACGTTTAATATCATCTCCATTTCACTCTCATTTCTCCACACTCAGTTAAAGATCTTTATTCACTCTCATTGTTCCAATGAAACTACGATTTTACATTTTAATTTACCAGAAGGGGTTTTGTGGAGATTTTAGTCATTTCAATAGCTGAAACCATCAGTCGATTGAAGCTAGACAACTATGATCTGTTGTGAGATATCAACTCACCGAAGACAATGGTGGATGTGTCGCTAAATTTCGTGGATTAGTTAAAGTTAGACATTAACACCGTTGGATGCCGGCCGTCTCAGTGGTTTAGAGGTTAAGCGTTCGCGCACGAGAACGTTATGTCCTGGGTTCAAGTGTCTCGGGAGGCGGGATCGTGAATGCGCACTGCTGAAAAGTCCCACAACAGGATGAAACGGCCGTCCAGTGCTTCCAGGTTTTCCATAGTGATCTAGCTTCAATTGACTCATGATTTCAACTATTGGAATTTCAATTTACTACAAATTTCTATTTTTTTATTATAACTAATAATGTTATCTATATGATTCATAAGTCTAATATCATATGAGATACATATAAATTTCATTAATAATTCTGACAGTATCAAATAGAAATACACCTACATGCGTGTTGTCATCTCCGTCATCATTATGACATTTCTAAGTGATTCTTAACTCTGATAAGTTTTACATTATTGTACACCTTAATTAATTGAGTAAATGAAACATTCCGATGAAAATATTTTTCTTCATTCAAGTTCAATAGATAAATGATCGTAGGTAGATTGTTGTTTTTGTGAGTCATTTAATCACAAATTCATACTTCACTATCTTAACATAAATCAATGGTGACGTCTCAGACTGTGAAGCTGAATGGTGCTAGTTCGAATCCTACCAAACATCTCGAACGAATGTCAATCAGCACAGAAATTAAATTCAAAATTTCCCCTTGACTTATTCCAGCTACTTGATACCTGAACATAGTGTGTAGAATTTTGAAACACATAAACTAGTGACTACACTGCAACTCTTGGTGGAGTTTTGTTCTCTGAGCTGGATGGTTTGGTCGTGGAGCTTTCATCGTCCTTCTGAACGACATCATCAGCACAAACTTCATCATCCACCTAAGCTACAAATCTTCTCCACCATCTCAACACTGCAACTCTATAGACAGATTTCAATTAACACTAAAACACTAGACAAACATGGTCAATTAATTGTTTATTTAGAATCAAGCAACTAATAAAGTATACCTTAGAAATATTTTCAACTGATTTATATGACTTGATGTCTTTTATCATTCGAATATGAATAATCAAAGTTGAAAAGCACAGTCACAAAATAGCTAATTAAGTTTCCCATCACATCAGTCACAGCATTTCTTAGTCTATATTTTCGTGTTAACAACCAGTGTCAATAATATTATTAAATCTATTTACAAAAAAACAACGCGTTCATACGAAACTACGAAAGTTGTCTTGCAGTGGAATTCAGTACGAGCGTATTGTCCTATTTGGGACTTGTCATCTAAATGTAACAGCATCATAAAGTTGATGTTCACTCCAGGA